GAGATAGCAACCATGCCAGTTTGCCATCTAAAAAAATGGCAACTCTCCAATGCCCCTTGTGGCAGCCATTTTGTGAATAGGCAAACTCTGTCAAGAAAGTTTAAGAAAGTTACTTTGATTCCTTTAGCCCAAGTCAGTCATTCTCCAAACAGTTTAATCGGATAGGAGAATTGACTTCTCTGCTATATTGACAAAAATCTAGACAGGCTCCACAAAAACGGACACTTTCTATTCATTCTGTCTCTGTGCCCATTTTGGAGCCATAAAAGGAGTGAAATTGGGGCAAAAATGGCTAAGGAATGACAATGCCTCCCAATTCGGGAAGTGCCAACCAGTTTGTGCCACTTAATTTTTTTATTTTTCTCAAAGGTAGGTAGATAGATAGGTAAGTAAATCCTGTCAAAGGTAAGAAGAAAAGTGCAGGCCTCCCAGCCCATTTTGAAATAGCTGGGAGGACTGTAAACATGCCATTGGATGACTAATTGGCATATCACTGGCTGTGCACGGAATGGAAGGAAGTAGGGATGAAGATAATCCTGAATATATTTCTTGGTGAGCTCAATTTGAGAGTTATTATGTAATACCTTTAAAATTCTGGTAAGGATTTGATTCTAACCATAATAAGTATCCATTTATTTACTCAGTATCCTATCTTTATTGTTTGTACAAATAACTCATGGCAACAAACATATCCACCACACTTTCCTTCTCCTATTTTCCCTACAACAACAACTTTGTGAGATGGGTTGGACTGAGGCAGAAGGATTGGCCCATGGTCACACAGCTGGTTTTAAAGCAGGACTTGAACTCAAGGTCTCCTGCTTGCTAGCCTGCTGCCTAAACCACTACACCAAACATTTCCAGCACTTGAGACAGCCCAACATAATAGTTATTATTTATACCATTTACTTTGGTATAAAAATTCAATATATTTTTTAAAAAACTTTGGATAACCTTGCAAGGGAAACATGGCCACTAAATCTTATCCTGAGGGTCAAAGCAAGTACTTCTACTTACATCAGGGGTGTCAAACTTGCAACATCACATGATGTTACGACGTATCGCGACTTTTTTTCCATTGCCAGCAATGGGGTGGGCGCAGTTTCAGCATGACACATCCGGTCCACGGGCCAGCAATTTGACACTCCTGACTTACATGCAAGCCAGCTGATTTTCTACGATGCATTAAAATATTTTCTTTCCCAAAGGCAAGGCAGCCCATCTGTTTGTAACTTTGAACAAGCTGATAGGAGCAAATGGTGGGAAAAACGACACCTATTGCCTCTGCTCTGCCTCAGAGCAACATGCCAGAATTTTTCTTGATCATTGCCTTGCAAGAAAGAAAGTCCTGCCAATGACCCAAAGCACATAATCTGCAAAAAGGTGTGGCTGAAGTTTTCTGTTAGATTACTAAACTCTAAAATGCATTCCAGCATATATTATTTCTTTTGGCCACAATGCATTTGTTCTTTTATAAGACAGGATCTCAAGGCAAAAAAGTACCAAGAGGGAAATCTGATTTTTGCACTATTATACTGTGCAAGAATGCAATACTGTATTGAGTAAATTACTGCTAAAGTCAAAATGACATTTTACCCTAGTCTCCTTTGGTTAGTATCTGTTACAAACTGACCTTGTGTATATAATTACTGTACTGAAAGACACATGAAGTTGTTCATCAGGTTGATATGTGTATATAAAGTTACATTACCTCCGATTTTTCTTTAATTTGATTTGTTTTCTTTTTTTATAAATATTTTATTAATTTTCTAGTTTTACAGTCAAATACTTAATAGACAGCATATTGTCTGAGTCCATTAGTAATTCAGTGGTATATATCAACTTCATGTTTCATTTATGTTTTTAACTGGAATTCTGAAGTAAACATATAAATATTCAGTCAAACATTTATTGATTCAGTTTACCAATGAGTCAAAAACTCCTATTCTTTTTTTAAAAAAAGTATTTGATTTTTATGCAATACTGAAAATATTCAAAATGCATATAAATTCAAAAATATACAAACCATAGAAAAACTGTATCTGATTCTAAAGACACATAGGAACTCTCTCACAGTTATGCAGTTATGGTACTTTGACCAGCAAAGACAAATCTCATATTTTAGAAGTCTGACAGATTTACAATGCAAAGGCTGAACACAGAAGAGTGACTGTAACAAACTAACTTAGAGATAATCCTCTATTTATGATCACAACTGAGCTCAAAATTTCTGTTAATTGAAACATTTAATGAGTTTTGCCTCATTTTGTGACCTTTCTTGCCACAGTTAAGTGAATCACTATAGTTAAGTTAGTAACACGGTTGTTAAGTAAATCTGACTTCCCAATTGACTCTGCTGGATAGGAGATCACAAAAGGTCAGCATGTGACCCTGGGATACTGCGACTGTCATAAATAGGAGTCGGTTGCCAAGTGTCTGAATTTTATTATGTGACCATGCAACGGTAGTTAAGTGTGAAAAATGATCACGTCACTTTTTTTCAGTGCCATTATAACTTCAAATGTCACTAAATGAACCATTGTAAGATGAGGACTGCCTGTATTTTATTTGTAAAAAGGTTTATGTTTAGCCAAACTCACAATCTTGCATAAAGTGGCTAGAAGGAACCATTAAAATGAATTATGCATATGCCATGCTGACTGAGAATGATGGAGGCTGCTTTTAACCCCCAGTCCTTAAAACTTTTTTTCTTTCTATTAAAGAAGCAGAAAATTGGGCTAGGACAGAAGTTCTCAAACTGTGAGTTGAGACCTCCCAGAGTGGACATTAGCAACGTGTGTGTGTGTGTGTGTGTGTGTGTGTGTGTGTGTGTGTGAGTCACTTTTAAAAAAAAAAAATGATCAGCTTTGCACAGGCAAAATGGGACATTATTTCAAACTAGTTCGTCTTTGCTCCTTATTTTGTCTGCATAAGCCCCAGTGGATACTAATGACACTGCAAAGCCTAAGAAGTCTTGTGATATATATTAATATTTAATTCTTAGAAGTGTTATACTTCTTTCTTGTATGGACTTAAATCCACTGGGGAAAAAATATTTGTTTGGGTTACAGAATATTCATTTATGATTTTAGGGGGTGCAAAGTTTCAACATTGCTGAGTTAGAAGATTTCAATAATTTAATAGATCCACTGCACAGGCCAATGTTAATTGGCTAATAGAAGTACTATGCTAAAATGCAACTGGCTAATCGGTATATCATATAAACCCAGTCAATGTGGTTAGCATATTGGTCAGTTAATTAAAGAAAATGCCCTGGATTGAGCCAAATGGAAATGGCTTTGCCAACAAGTAGACCCTGCCATAGTACGGGAATAATGTTAGGAAGAAGAAGATTGCTCTGTTAATTATGGACTAACATGTTGTGCAAATACAACCCTTGCTTTGCCTAATGAAATATGCTGGACTAAACACGGAAGCCAAGAATATTATCTACTATTACAAATACTCTGCCCTGTGGTTCAGTAATAGCATGATAAAAACAGGCTTCTCTGCATATTGAAGTTCTTTATATTAAAAACTTGGCACAGTGAGGCAGTTGCCACATGGAACTAATTAAAGCATCAAGTATGTTCAGAGTGGGTTTCTGTTGTAATAACTTTCACATAATAAAGCTGTCCTTATCCTATCACAGATATGCCAGTAAATAGCGCGGTCCATACTGACAGTGTACAGGACACATTAAGGACATAGATGGGAAGGATGCCCAGCTTTGTTGCCCTCCCCTCTTAGCAAATGTCATCAGCCAGTGGGAGAAACACATGCATTAAGATGCTCTCCTTAACATAGGATGGCACTAAATTTGAGAAAGAGGCAAATTTTGACAGATTGCTAACCCAGTGATTTTAAACACCTCTCAACACTTGCTCTGCTTTTGTGCAAGTGTTTGTTTTGTATAGGTGAATTCAAAGGAAGCCCAATTATCAGCTAAGAGTTGGGCTGCTTTTAAACACAGGTTTAGTGCTGTTCTTAAAGGCACTAAACCACTGTTCTGAAGCAACCCAAACAACAGCTGAGGGTCATGCTATGAAAGAGCATGAAATTATATTCTCTCTCTCTCTCTCTCTCTCTCCCCTGTTGCCCAAGGCCACAATGCCTCTGGAAAACAAACTGGGGGGGGGGGTCGGGGAGGCTATCTATACCTACTAAAGTGGCCACCTCAGATGTCACCTGTGACCTGGTGAGTGAAACATGTGAGATTATACTCATGCAACCCACACTACTTGTTGCCTCTTTAAAAGTGAAAGCACCCCTTTAAGCACCACTTTAACACTGGAAAAGCTAAACTCCCAAAGGTTGGGATTGAGATTAAGAGAATGGTATGGCCTACTTGCCCACAGAAAAGAAGCTGCCAGAACATACGCTATAAAAAGTGCAAGTGGGGAAATGCCCATCTTTAGCACATTTTGTTTTGTGAACTTATATTCTGCATTTCAAATGGCAGGTTTTCTTTAAGCCACTTGCAGATTTTACAAAGAAATACTGTAGGAAGACAAGAACTCCCTGCAACATTTCAATACAAGCGCTCTGCTCCGTACACCTCGCAAGGTTGCAATCTCTTCAAAATAAGCCTTCATCAGACTTACCAGAAGGCTTGTCGTATTATGTAAGGCAGTGCCACATGTCAGTGGGTGTTGGGAGAACTCCCTTCCAAAGAATCCCCTCCTCTCTAATATGAATCAAACACAGAAGAGGATAGTCTCAAATATTTATCCGAGGCTATGTTGCAACCCTGAGCCCGAGAAGGCTTCTGTCTCTCCGTCCGCGGCGAGAAACGGAGAAAACCTGCTCGTATTCCAAGAATGACGCCTGATCCTCGCTCACGGGGCAAAAAAAGGGCATTTTCGTACTGCGCTGCAAGGCAGGAAGGGCTGTTTCTAGTTGACGCTTGCAGCCGCGTCCCATATCTGGAAGGGCCGCTTCGCTACCTAAGCTTCCCGCTCCCTCCCTCTATTAACGGCAGCAGCAAGGAGGTCACTCACGGGAAAGCTTCCACGGTTTGTTCGATTCGCGGCGCGTGGAATCCGAGGCAAAATTAATCGTGCCGTCTCTTTTCTAGAGCGAAGCAGCACTTGGGGAGCTCCAAAGAGGAGCAACCCAAAACCTGAGCTAGTTTTAAAAATGAACAACAACTGCCAACTCGTGACAAGGGCTTTCTTAACTTTGCACGTCCCCTCCCCACGCCGAGGGTTCAGTCGGCTGCCGAGGCCGCTCGCTTTTGCAAAACAACTCCGAGCCGCTCTGCTGTCACTCACTCGGCGCCTGCTCTGCCTTGTTCTATATTTGCATAGTCAACGCAAGCCAACCCCCTCTCTCTGTGTGTCTCTCTCACTCTCGTAAACTTTCTCCTGCAACTTGCTCTGCTTGGAGGGGAGCAAGAGCAGAAAGGAGCAAAACCAAAGTCCGGATTAAGCTACCTGCTGCAGAAGTCCACGGCACCGAAGAGCGGCCACAACCCCAATCCAGCGCGGAAGGACGAGCTCACCTCACCAATCCAGACGAGTGGCAAAGACGCCGCCGTCGTCAACCAGCCAAACCAAGCCAGCGCCAACTTCGCCTCTTGCGGTAGGATTCTGGGAAGGCGTCACTTCCTAGAGTGGTAGATTCCAAAACCAGCCTTTTGCAAGTCGGTGCCACCTCCTCGCGGTGCCCGGTTCCTCTGTCTCGACCGGTCGCGTGAGAAGGTACAGGACTTATTAAAATGGTGGGCGGTGATTATCGGGAAAAGGAAGGACGTTTTCGTATTGATAGCTCTTGGGATTCCTTGAACTGAGTTCAGCATACCTGAAACGCACTTTAGTCCTGAACGACGAGTCCAGCTTTGCACCAGTTCTGTTAAAACTTGGCGCTGGCGAGCGCCCCAGACGAGCCCAGTTCCTTGACACTTGAGACAGACAGTCCTACAAGCACTGGCCTCCTTCCTTTCAGTTTTGATCAAGATAATTAATTTAAAAAAGTTGCTGCCTTTCTGCAATTCAAATCTGGCTGAATCATTTGCTGCATACTGCCTAATGTGTTCTTCCTCAACCTAACGCTCTCTAGGAGTGTTAGAAATAATCATAGCCAGAAATTCAGGGGTGGTCTAGACTCAACATCTGGAAGGTGCCAGGTTGGAGAAGTTTGGCCTAATATTAGACCCCAGCTGATGTCACTTCTCTGCATTAGATTTCCTGTGCTTTGATTTGTTTTTGGGCTGTGTGTTCCTGTCAGGATCCTGTATTCTTGCAGACAAAGAGACAGAGAGGCTGTAGATATAGTACGCCTATTAGCCTAATGTGCTGTGCAGATCAGTCATATAAATTTAATTTATGGTATGTTGTGTGAACCAAGAGCATTTGGATGAGTTGATCGTGTGTGTGAATATAACTAAGAAATACTGCCTACTTTTCCATATCTTTCCCACCAGTTTTCAAAATGAGGGAGCCAGAATGACTATCTATAACCTGACATGTCCTTTCTCTGGCTATATTCATACAACACCCCTTACCCTTTCTCTGGCTGTGTTCATAGAACAACCCTTATTTAACCGAAACATTGTTTCTAGAATTAACAATGGGTTCACACATTACACCATATAATTTATGTAACTGATTTGTTTAGCAACAATTGATTAGATTCATGAAACCATCAAGCCCAAAAATCTCATTGCCGTAGCTAATGTGACACACAAAGCTGTGTTAACTTGTGTGTCCTGGGCAAATTCTCCAGCACCTTGACGGTTGAGTTTTTTCCTCCCTGAGCAGATCTAGAACCTTGTCCCAGCTGTTAATGCTTCTTGCAGACCTCCCTGCTTAGACATCTATTTACCTGCTGCCCTGTGTGAACCAACCTCTCTTTCCAAAGTAGTGGATGTGAATAGTAGAGGAGGATATGATACCTTATTGATAGGAAGGGTCAGGAATAGGACAATTGCTTATAGTACTGAGCCCAAAGGATTAGGATACAATGATAACATACTGTGAGTTGTGCTGTCATTTTGTGTGTAGGAGAATGCTGGAACATGTTGTATTTGAGCTGTGTCCATTAGCTGTTTCCCAATAGAGCTTATATATTGGCATAGTTGGCTTCTTTGTCTCTGTTTAGTGCCATTTTTTGGACTGGGTTAGTCTCAGTGGATATAACAGGTGACAGCTGTTCCATTTACATACAGTAGCAAGAGCAAAAAAATTTCCCAGCCCTCAGAGATGCCATTGCAATATAGGGTTCCTTTCTAATAGAAAATAAGAATATTGTATACTCTTCTGCAAAAGCAGCTGCAGGAATGACTAGATGGTTTACTATGATAAAATGCATTGTTCTGGGATATTTTACGTATGGAAAAAGTCAATAAAGAGGAAGATAGAGTAAGAAATAGTTGGATAGCACACTAACTTGGAAGAACAGAAGTTTATAAAAATATATTGTAATTTTTTTTTTTCTAACATGGTAATCTGGCACTAGATCAGTGTTTCTCAACCCTGGCACAATTTTAAGATATGTGGATTGGCTTGGGAATACTGGGAGTTGAAGTCCACACATTTTAAAGTTGCCGGGGTTGAGAAACACTACTCTATATTATTTGGTCTTAGTGTCAGACAACCAAGATATATGATCAGAAATATCAAATTAGCTTGCCTGAGGCCAAAACTGCATAGCAAAAGACTACAAGTAAAATTATTGCCTCTATGTTCAGCACAGTAATTATGTACTCTGAGCAGGATTCGTGAGTCTACAGTGTGACTCTATCCATGTTGAATTAGAAGCTATCCTCACCAAGAGTGCCTTAAATAACCACTTATTGAGATTGTGTATGCATTTTTTCATTATTGGTCTTCTGAAAGCTTTAGCTGTTCTAGAGGGTAATGAATTGTGCCTAATATATTGTGTCAATGTTTGTGTTAGTTTGATGTTAGGCTTTTTATGATATTTCATGTTTTCAAGATACAAATTCCTGGAAATTGTTTTTGTGTTTAGTAGGATAAATAGATCAATAGTATTTAGATATGATAACTTCCATTCCAGTTTTGACAGGCAAGGTTTAAAATGCATGCATACATTTTAAAAATGTTGACCCTAGTCATACTTCTTTTGGGTAAGCCTTCTGTAATGGGAATCCTGCTGTCCCAACCAATCTCCAACGTAATGCCTCTTTGCCTCCATCATGAACAGTATGTGAAGAGCAGCTCTTGTCAAGCTCTTAAGTCGCAAGCATACCGATATCCAAGTAGGCTTCAATAGAAAATGAATGATTTACGTATTTTTATTAGAAGTTTGAAAACATAACAAATGCTAATGATAATCTAGCTTTATCAAACTCTGAAAATCCTAGTTCCTTAAAGATAGCATCAGCATCTACAATGAAGAACTTTATGAAAATAATCACTACTTGGCCATGAGAAAAACACCACACGGATAAATTAATAAGCAGACATATATACACACTTAAATGTTGATGATATTTATTTAAGTATAAGAACAGACAGGAGAAGATTTGGTTACTTACTATCGGTCATGTTGGTGACATGGATTCTTGCAGAGCTCTTTAGCTGTTGGCTTTTCATTCCTTACATTTGTTCTTCTCACAACCCATATTGGGGTTTTTTCTTTCACTGCTGCAGCTGTTGTTGCTATGCTGTCTATACTGTTGCTATGATTTGTAAGACTTCTGCATTTGCTAGATCATGGTTGTCTCAGATTAACAGTGATATCATTCATTCTCCTTGTAGTCTCCTCTCTCCAGTTTCTAAATAAATGAGAACAGTTTAATAAGGAATAGTTTCTGGGACCTAATACTAGGCTGTAGGAGTTACCATTTTTACAAGGGTCAGATATCTGAATGAGTTTGTAACACCTTTCCAACTAATACACTGTATTAAAAATGTAAGTTATGCTCATAACTGTTTATATCTTAATGTGTTGGAAATGGTATTAACAGACTCCTTCTGACTTAAGGCCATGATAGACGAATACAGTTTTTCTCCTACAATGTCTATAATAGGGAGAAATTATAGCTACTCATATCTAAAGAAGAAAATATTGATTGATTAATTGATTGACTATGTGTTGTCAAGTCACTGTCGATTCTTACCCAATATGTTGGTAGATTTTCTCCAGGAGCTTCATTCCCCAACCTGCTCCTTCAGGGTTTCCAGCAGTACTGTAATTGAGTCAATCTGCCTTGAGGTTGGTTATCCTGTTCTCTTTTCCAGCATTATGAAATTTTCCAGAGAATTAGGTCTTTACGTAATACGTCCAGAGTATGATAATTAATACATGCTTACGTGATAATTTGGAATGAAAATTAAAATACCTGTAAGCTAAGACCAGTTGGACTTAATTAATATTTTATGGGAGACCACAGGGAAGCTAGGGCTGTAGATCAGACTGCTGAAAACAGATCCAAAGATCCCTGAAGAAGGCAATGGCAAGCAACACTGTTGTCAAGAAAACTGCAAAATTATATCTATACAATCAGACTTAGCTGTATTTGGGCAAAAATAAATCAGTAGCACTCTTATCTACAATGTGCCATATTGCTGCTTGTTAGCCCTTCACAGTAGACCAGACTAAAAAACCAAAGTTATGAATGCTAATATAAGGTTACAGTAAAAGAATCTTTAAAATCTAAATATGTTTTCTCCCCTCCCTTTATTTTTCTGAGAACAGGGTCAAGTTTGAGATACTTTCTCAAATTACATTTCTTCCTCAGACTCAAATTTCTTTTATCAAATCAGTGTCTTCGATGCAGCTCTTCTTTTGTTCTCAGAGTCATTCCTATTACCCATTACATTTCTGTGTTCACACAGCCCATTTACAGTGATTAACTGAACTGTTTTTTTTCTGTTCCTGAACTCACATGAAACCTTCATCTGTAAATTAATTGCATGGATTTGGTTTTCCCAATGTAGTAAAATATGATTGGCTGCTTTATAGATTATGCTGAATCTGACTGAATAGTTAACCAGAGAAGAAGGTAAATATTTGTTCAGAACTACCGGTAGTATATTTGTTTGGAATAGTTTTCATTTATATACTGTCTTTCAGGTCAGCATTAACATAGTCATACCTATTTCCAAATAAGCATACTGACTCATTTCAAAAGGTTGATTATGTGGCACCAAATGACAGATTTTGAAAGGTTGCATTTTATTTTATTATTATTTTATTTTATGTTTGAATTTGCCTATTAATTATGGTAATTCTATTAAAAAATGGATTTTTTTTCCTTCTGGTCAGTACAATATACTTGGTATTATAATAATAATAATAATAATAATAATAATAATAATAATAATAATAAAGGTGAATACATCAGGAGAGTGAAGAAGATCTTAAAGTCCAAACTCAATGGAGAGAATACCATAAAGGCAATCAGCACCTGGGCAATTCCAGTCATTAGATACACAGCTGGAATAATGGACTGGACTCAAGCAGAACTAAAAGCAATGGATAGGAAGACCAGAAAAATAATGACAATGAATCATGCCCTTCATCCACGCAGTGACATTGACAGACTTTATCTACCAAGGCAAATAGGTGGGCGTGGAATGCTGCAAGTACATCAGATGGTTGAAGAAGAAAAAATGGCTTTGGAAGAATATCTGAAGGACAGTGATGAAGATGCACTGAAATTAGTATATCAGGAAGGCTTACTAACTACTGGAGAGACCAAACTGGCCTACAAGAAAGACCAAATGAAGAACAG